ATCCTTTTACATGAATTAATACATATTTTTAAAATGCATTGTTTTCCATTTCTAATATGATGAATATTGATAAATATAACCCATATAAACAAAAGCTCTTTGGGGTCCTCAATAATTTCTAAGAAGTTAAAGGGGTCCTGTAACCAGCAAGTCTGAGAACCATCGGGATCAGAGAAAGCCTTGAGGATTCTACTTCCTTTTGGTCTGCATTTTCTGAAGGAAGTAACTAAGCAAGGCCAGGGGTCTCTTGAGGCCCCTCTTAACTGGGATGGAAGGACCAGGTACCAGCCAACATCTCTAAGAAGGGAAAGTTTATTACCTGACTTTCAGCAATCCTCTCCCACTTGCTGGTTATTTTCCAGGGCCTTTATGCAATCCCAAAACCCAAATATAGTATTTGACTGAGGTTCTCACTCCCCCTAAAATTCACCATGTTCCAAAATTGTCCTTTTCCTCATTTCACCTTGCCCTGTCTCATCAGTTACTAATCTCAATTAAGTATCAGGGTAAACAGAGTCTGAACTAATTCTCGTTAAGGTGTCTCATTAAGACTTATGGCTTCCCAACTTAAATCTCCCAGATGTAAATGATGTTTCCCAACTAAAATAAACCTCTAATTGGGAGAATTTCAGCTGGAAAGAGGGCAAATATGTTTGGACAGAATAGTATTGCAATGGCTCTGAAAGCCTAAAAACTCTTGGCTATTTGGGTTGCTGTAGGTTACAGAAAAGGAGTCTTTGGAGCAACCACTAGCTTGTTCCTAGTATTTCCACTGTCTCTACCAAGGGATCCCAGAAATGTACTCCACCCATTAAGTCTCACTGCCAGTACTCAACTCCCAGACCTATTCTCTTTCTTCCTTTGTTTTCCTGAGACCTGAGCTTTTCCTCGCCAAATAACATTTACCCAGTCTTCTTCCCTAGGTCATTATCCAGGGTGACATAGACCTTCCTTCAGCAAAGGAGAAGGATAGCTCCTTTGAGAAGGAAGGGAGAGTGAAGTATGACAGGAACAAGATTTTGGGTGGCTAATATTTAAAATTTAACACATTATCCTGTGTGGAAAAATAAACCCAACTTTGAGAAGGATGGCTCTAGGCTCAGCCCCGCCCTCCTTGGTTGACCCCTCCAAAGCAAGCCTTTTACTTCTTGGGAGCTTGGGTGGGACCAGAGGAGCTTCCCTATCAATATGATACTCCAGTGACTAAAACTGCTTTGCCCATGATGTTCAAACAAAATACTACTACCTATTTATTCAGCAACTATTATGTGAAAGAAACCATGGCACAATCCATCCTCACTAAGGTTCTCTAGTCCATCATCAGAGCTCAGATTCATGCCTGAGAGGGCAAATACTAGATAGGTAGTAATGCTAAAATCTTGCCTCCCTTTTGTAGCTACACTCCCTGAGAAGGCTGTCTACACTAGGCGCCTCCACCTGTTTTCCAGTCATTTTCTTCTTAGCTGTTTACAATCTGGTTTCTGACCAAAACTTCTCCCTCCAAAATTACTAACAATCTCAGAGTTCATTAGATTGTAAGCTTCTTGATGGTGAGGACTATCTCTTGCCTCTTTTTGTATCCCCAACATGATGCCTGGTACATAGTAGGTGCTTAATAGTAGGATTTTGATTGATTGATCTCAATTGCCAAATCAAATGGCCTTTTCTCAGTCATTCTTTCCCACCATACTATCCTGATTCTCCTCTTACCTGTCTGACCACTCTTTCTTAGTCTCCTTGGCTGGGTCTTCATACAAGTCATGAATGCTAACCTTGAATATCTCACAGGGCTCTGTCCTGGGCCCTCTTCTCTCTCTATACTTTTCACATCAGCTCCCATGGATTGAATTGTCATCTCTATGCTGATGATTCTAAAAATCTATTTATCCATTCTTCACCTCTCTGCTGACTTCTGGTCCCATATCTCCAACTACCTACTAGAAATCTCAAACTGGATGTTTCATAGACAACTTAAACTCAACATGGCCAAATTTGAACTCATTATCTTTTCTCCAAAATTCTTTCTTCTGCCTAACTTCCCCATTACTTTTGAGGGTACAATCATCTTCCAAGTAACCCTAGCTTGAAACCTAGGTGTCATCCTAGCCAGGGATGGGGAACCTGAGGCCTCAAGGTCACATGTGGCCCTCTAGGTCCTCAAGTGGGATCCTTTGACTGAATCCAAACTTCACAGTGAAGTTTGCCATGTCCTAAAACCTGTCTGACCATGTGACTTGCCCTATTCAATAAACTCTAAAAGCTCCCTAACATCTCCAGGATCAAATATAAAATTCTCTATTTGGTGTTCAAAGTCCTTTACAACCTGCCCAACCCAGCCGCCTTTCCAGTCTTCTTACATCTTCCCTCAATCCACCAACTCTGGGATCTAGTGACACTGGCCTCCTTGCTGTTGGATGAAAAAGAAATTCTCCTCTCCTGGCCTTTTTTCCTGCTATCCTCCATGCCAGGAATGTTCTCCCTCCTCATCTCTACCTCCTGGATTCATTGGTTTCCTTCAAGTCCCAGCTGAAATTCCACCTTCTACAAAAAGTCTTTCTCTATCCACTTTAATTCCAATGCCTTTCCTCAGTCATTTATTTTCCTATTTATTCTGTATATGGCTTGTTTGTGCATAGTTGCACACATTCTCTCTCCCCCAATAGACTGTAAGCTCTTTAAACACGGGAGCTATTTTTTGCTTTTTGTATCACCAGCACTTGGCATAGTGCCTGGTGCATAGTAGGTGCTAAGTAAATGTTTATTATTTGTCACTGACTGAGCTAGGGAAGCAAGGGGGGAAATGGAAAGAAAATTAATTTTTCCCCCTTTACATTTGAGTGCATCAACTCTATGCAGATGTTTTTTGACTGGCTTTCATTTCATTTCCTATATTTTAATATATTCAAGCTACAAATTTAATGTAGTGGGGGGGAAGGGGAGAGTGAAGTATGACAGGAACCAGATTTTGGGTGGCTAATATTTAAAATTTAACACATAATCCTATATGGAAAAATAAATGAATGAAATCTGTTTGATATGAATTTGATGAACTTTTGCTTGTGGATTTTAGACAATAGCACTTACATAAGTAAACTAACCTTATAAACTGTTAAAATGTTGAAACTGGAAATGTGTTTTTTCAAACAGACAAAATGGAGAGAGAATTTTTGAGGACAGTTCCCCACCACCAGGCCAACCCCATACTTAAAATCACTGGCTTGAAAGGACTTCAAGAGAACATTTTTGCCTCTGGAGAGGAATGTACTCAAACCATCTTGAGTGGTCTTTTACTCTTTGAAGTCTCCAGATTACATTGAGGGTCTGTTCTAACATCTGACAACTTTTATAGCTCATCCTGCATTTTAAAGTTAATTTGCCCTGTGCAGAGAACAGCCAAAGACAGATGATATTCTGTCCATCTTCAGTGTTCCTTGAGTACCATATATACAAGCATTGTACTATGAGCAGTAATATGCAAAAGGAGAAAAGTGGTCCCCAACATTATCTAATGAAAGACACTGGAATATATACAGAAAAACCACAACTAACAGGAATTCAGCTGATTGTAACCCTGATTTATCCTACACTGAGCTTTTAGGAGAAAAAAAGGCAAACTTTTATGAGCAATTTTAACAATGTATCAATTTCTTGGGATTATGTTAGTTATTACAATCAACGCAATCACTTGTACATTTCAACACCACCTTTCTATCCCTTTCTATACAAATACTTCGCTCAGGCCAATATGTGAAATAGTCACAGTGCCTTGCACTTTCCCAACTGTGTACCTTTGCAAATACTGTGCTTACCACCTGAACTGCCCTTCTTCCCAAGCTCCTGGCCTGTTGAAATCTTAAGATTCAGTTCAAATGCCACCTCATTCAGGAAGCCTTTATTGTCCCTAGCTGGAAGCAAGCTATAGGTCTCCTTTCTCTGAACTCACAGAGCACTTTTTACTTTTTTCGGGACACTTAACATACCACCTTGTATGAGTAGGTAGAGCATCTGGTCTGGAGTCAAATCGGGCCTTAGACACTTCCTAGCTGTGTGACCCTAGACAAGTCACTTGACCTGCTTGCCTCGGTTTTCCCATTCATAAAATGGGGATAACAATAGCAGCACCTACCCCCATCCCATTGTTGGATCAAATGAGATAATGATTGTACAGTGCCTGGCACACTGTAAGCGCTATATAAATGTTAGCTATCATCATCATCATTATTAAAGGAGAAAACAATCGCATAGCACTTAGCACAGTGCCCGGCACATCGTAAACGCTAGTTAAGAGTTAGCTACTTTTATGTAAATGTCTCACCTCCCCACACTAGACTAAAAGCGCTCGGAGGGACCTTGTCTTACAGTCCCTCACATTTCTTCTAAGCGCACTGCAGCCCCTCGATAAACGGAGGGTGAGGGATCGAGGGGGTTTGATGGTGGCTTAAATACACACAGTTATGAACAAGTTACAGTTTCCTAGGGCTTTGTGTAGCTATCAGAAGAAGAAAAAAAAAAAAAACATTTGCCGCGGGCAGAGCTCAGTGAAGTCTAAGCCTGAACCTGCGATGGTAGAAAAGTGAGTGACTCCTTCGAAACCACGCAACTCCCTCCTTTACGAAACCTTTTTGGTGCGTTTTGTTTCCCAACTTCAGTCCTTTGGCGAACAAAAGCGCCTGTCCCTTTAAGAATCAGGACCGAAGCTCTTTTTTTCCCCCTCAATTCTCCTTCCCTCCCACCCCACTCCAATTAGGCAACCTAGCCTAAGCTCCCACCCCTTTCTATTCCAGACGGCGAACTATGGGTTCAGTTTCCCGTCCGTCACAGTGGAGGCTCTTCTGATTGGTTTGTTGCCTTCAGGCGGAGGAGGGGGGAGCGAGGGCCGGGGAAACTAGTTTGTTTGCAGCGCCCTCGCTACATTGTATCCAGAGTGCTCCTAGGGGTGGGCGGGGGGGAGGGGCAGAAGAGGCCGAGAGAAGCGGAGGAGGAGGAGGAGGAGGAGGAGGAGGCAACATGAGCATCGTCCGGGCGACCGGAGGTCACTGACTGGAAAGAGCGGAGGCAGGGACCTGGAACTGGGGATCAGCGGGCCAGGGAGTGCCCCTACAGTAAGTACCTGTGTCCGCGCTCAAGGTGCCCAGAGGGAGCGCTGCCCTGTCCGCGGGACGCACCTCTGAAGCAGATTTGCCCACGCACACGCTCAGGCCCTTTGCAAAGTGCTGGGCACCGGGGCAGCAGCGGGGTAGTGGGCACTATCCGCCAGTCTGGCTCCTGTATGTGGGTCTGGCTCTGCTAGAGGGTGGGGAAGGCGGCTAAGGAAGCCGGGTGTGAGAGCTGTCAATCCTCCCTCCTTGACAGGCAGCCCTGCGGTCTGGACTTGACTGCGGGACATCCACTGGAAGTGAGTTCCATGTACGGGAGCCAGCAGTTCCTGGGAAAGAGGAAACACAGAGACAGGCTCACCCCAGGCAAGAGACACCACAGGGGCATTTCTAGGCTTTGAGTCTAACGAGGACTAACATCCCCCCTCCACGCTAGCATCCGAACCCCTACACACACACACATACACGCACACCCCACCTTTTTTTCTTTTTCTTTTCTTTTCTTTTCTTTTCTTTTCTTTTTTTTTTTTTTTTTTGCACCTTTAGGATCCTGGGAGAACATTTGTTGAGCCCGGGGTGAGGGAATGAATTGTTTTGCAAATGGATGTTTGGCTCTGGGAGCCTAAACTCTTCCCCCTGGGAGTTGTTTCTTCATTAAGTCTACAATCTTTTTTTATTATTATTGATCCTGGAAAGAGGAATATGTTTGCTTTTGAGAATGCTGTTGTCCCAGCTTTTTTACCCCAAGCTAAAATCCTGTGGTGCTTTGCTCTGAAAGCCAGATGGTCTTCTTTCCCTAGACCCAGATTCTTCATTTAAAAAAAAAAAAGAGAAAATGTTGTATACAACAGCTATACAACATCACTCCCTTCCAGGAACAGAGCATAGGAATTGCTCGTTGTGGGAGTAAGGGAAAGTCCAGCATTCTGCTCTGATCTGTTTCCCAGCTATGAGCTACAGTTGTGAACAGTTTAGGCATCCACAGTCCAAAGGAAGCGGGATGATTGGAGCATTTGGGGATACAGTGGGGATACTGGATGATTTGGGTCCCATTCTGCTTTGAAATGTTACTCTAGTAAACTAGTTACTCTAGTAAAGTGCTTGTTAACTGACTTACTCAAGGAAACAGCTTTTTGTTTTCTGTAAGAGGATAACCCCACACATGCATTCTTACATTCATTTATTTATTCAGCTATCATTTATTAAGCACCTACTGTGTGCAAGGAACAGGAGCTAGGAAGATACAAAGATAAATAAGAGAAAGCTGAGCCTGAGAGGGGGCCATCACATCCATATAAAAATACTATAACTAGTGCAGAATATAGGATAATTACAAAGTTCCATGGATGGTTGGAGGAAGGAACCGTAATTTCTGATGACATTGTCTACCCACATGATCCCATGAACATAAATATGCAATTTAGTGGAAATGAAGTCCTAAGGCAATGGCAGTTCTCTAGGACCAAGGCTCCTTAGGCCTCCTCAGAGGGAGCCCAATTGGTGGACTACAGCAAAAGAGAATGTCTTGTCTGGGTAACTTTAGAGAACAGCAGTTGGGTAGTGGAAAGATCAGGGAATTTGAAGTAAATCAAAGAGGACTTGGGTCTACAAAGAGGGGGAAGCTTTGGTCTTGAGGCTACAGGTGTCCCTATAGGTCCTCAAGTGAGGCCCTTTGACTGAATCTAGACTTCATGAAGTGGCCTTGAGGCCACAGTTTCCCCACCCCTGACTCTAGCCCTATCTCCATTACTTATTGAGTGAGTCTTTGAAGATGATTTGTCCTCTCCCCCTCGTAGGATAGTTTTGACGATCAAATGAAGTAATGGGTGCATATGAAAGTGATCTTAATAATATAAGGCAGGATACAAGCATAAATTGATGAAAGGGATGCATCTGTTGTGTTGAAGGAGTCTGCAAGGGATGTTCAGGATCGTAGATTTAGAGCTCAAATGGATTTTAGAGATCGTCTGGTACAAGCCACTCCTTCTACAGTTGAGGAAACCAAGGCCCAGAGAGATTTAAGGGACTTGCCCAAGATCACACAGGTGGGAATTATCAATGAAAGCATTTGAACCCAGGTCTTCTGCCAATGAATCTGGCATCCTCTCTGCTGTAATATCACACTGCTTCCTCTGCAAGGAAAAAGGTGGGTCAAATCATTATAAAGTTTACTTAGAATGTATCAAAACCTAAGTGGGGTTTATGGGAATAATTGGTATAGAAAAAAGATCTGTTATCAGTCTGGTAAATAAGAGGAAATTTTCAGGTTTCTGAAGCTGCCAGTCTTTATTTCTGAGTGTGAACTTCCTCTTTTGGGGGTAAAGTTCACAGAATTGGAAGCTCTCTAATCCTGGCCTAGCCTGTCATCTGCCGTTATTCCCAGATATATTCTTTTGCTTCTTTGGGCCTCAGTTTCCCAATCTGTCAACTGAGGATGATGTTTGCTAGCTAGGGTTCACTACCACAGGAATGGGGGATTAGGATTCATGAGAGGATATTGAGGTGCTGAGAAGAAAACGACTTAGAAATACATATCTGCAATTTAAAGAGCAAATTTCAGTGGCAGACTGAAAGCTACTTTGTATGTTTCTAAAATAGAAGTCCAGTGCTGCAAGTAGAGGTTCTGAACACCTTGTAAGAATGATTGAATCTATCTTTTCCAAGGCTACTGCAGTTATTATCATATTGAGTTCAAATGACTTTAAGGAGTAGTGGAAAGGGAGAGAAGAACCCTTCAGTTCCTTTGTATTTGTGGTGCAGAGAAGTGGGAGAGTCAGAGGTCACTCCAGCAAGTCTGATGACAGGGTAATCCACAGTGAAACCTACCTATACATTCATCATCCTTACTTGTAGGCGTTCTCTTACCTCTAAGAGAGGTAAGAGGGAAGAGGAACTAGTTACCTAGAGATTCTTGGGCTCAGTGAATGTGTACTTGAATTGTTTCAGATAGCCCTGCAAGGTATCTGGGAAGGAAGATCGAGAGGGACAGTTGGTCATCTGGCTGGGAGAAAGAAGTTCCACAGTAGCCCCTGTGAATACTTGGACTTCTAGCTTCCATACTCTCCCTCCTACCCTCACTACTCCCAAAGCCACATTCCAATCCAGGTTAGGAATCAGGAGGGAAGGGGAGGAGGAAGAGAAAGGTTGAAAATTATAGCTTGGCTCTTAACCATCCCTGTCACATGTTCTCACCCCCACCCCCAACAGAAACTGGATTGATTTTTGCTCTTGCCAGGGTTGGTTTTGACAGTCTTGGACCAAACAGATAAACTGCATGGTGGAATAAACTGGATTTGGAATTCAGAGACCTAGGTAGAAATTTTTCAGTGGATACTTAGCAGCTCTGTGACTGGGCATATTATTTATGCCTCAGTTTCTTTATCTGTAAAATTAGAGTAATAATACTGGCTGATCTTAAAGTAGTATTTGAATGGCATTATATTATTATCATTGTCCATCTTCCCTGGGGCTGTATAGGAACCTAATTGGCCCCCTTTATGTTGGGAAGGGGAAGAGGCAAATGCTGATTGATATCCTGTCCTGGTTCCTTATCAGTATGTGAGCGTAACAGTTCAAAAATCCCTATTCAAAGACATCCCTGCCTAATATGGGAAGGCTTTAGTTGTCCTGAGAAAATGCAAGCTTAAATGAATTGGTTAATTGAGATTCTGGTTTTCATTTAATTTGGTAAATTCGATAATTGAATTATCTCAGCCCCAGTCAATTTTCCTTAAATCTCTCCCAGTTGGAATGAATGCTGGCTAGGAAGCATTTAGCGACTATAATCTACATCCACCACCCCTCCCCACTTGACCTTTAACCAGTATCATTTCAATGGGTCTTTGCTTATCAACTTTACATCCCCACAGTGGCAGTTAGCCCTACTCAAGCAATCAAAATTCTTCCTCAGCAAAAATGCACCAGCTGCCTTTCTTGATCCAAGGATTCAGTGCCACCCCAACATCAAGGGCAGAGAGCTGACTGTTTAGCGACTTGGTAGGCATTTAATTGAGGGGCAGATCATTCCCTGCTCACTCTTCATCTCAGGAGTCAAGGAAAAGACAGGCAACTTGGAAAGGTGAGCTGTGTTACTAGTTTGTAGTGATGGGCAGTGGTTAACATCGTGTATCTTCATCTGTATTCTTGAGATTTTGGAGCAGTTTCTGATTCCTGAGCCTCTCAGCCTTCTGACTTGTCTGTTTCCCGACTCTAGTTCTTAGCTATGCACATTCCTCGTATTTCCTTACCCCCTTTACATTCGCCCTCCATTTTTTTTTCCTGCGGAAGCAAGCTGGATTTGGAGGCACAGGACCAAGGTTTAGATACTCTTTTTTTCCTTACTGCTTAATTAACTATAACCTTTTGACAAAGTACTTCCCTTCTCTGGTCCTCAGTTTCCTTACCTGTAAAATGAGGTTAATGCTTGTATTACTTAACTTCACTGTATTGTTTTAGGGATCAAATTAGATTACATATATCAAATGCTTTGTAAATATGAGTGAAGTAAGATATAAATGTGGGCTGTCATTATGATGAGAATAATGATATTCTTCTAATAGCCCTCAAATTACTTCATTCAGACCAGATAGGATAAGCCGTGGGGGAGGGATACATGGTCTCCAGACTGTGGGTTTCTTTAAGACAGATGTAAGCTTTCTAAATAACTTTACTGAAACAAGTCTTTCCCAACTATAGCTGCTTGTTCCCTCCCATGACTCCACCCGCCCCCCACTCCCATTGATTTAAAGACTTTGAATCTTGTTTTGGTGAACTCTCAGCCCCTTAGACTGACTTGCAAGCTTATATATCCTTGGCTCCCCAGTCCTTTGGCATAGCCTGTCCAGGGTGTGATCAATGGGATGAGTGAGCAGACGAAGTATACACAAGCCATGAATGAGCCCTTTCACCTGCCCAGACCTCCCTGAGCCAAAGGATAATGGCAGAATGGAGCCAGGTGGGGCACATAGAGAAACAGGTGTGGGCACAAAAGAGAGACAGGTGAAGGATGCATTTCAGTAGAGGTGGTGCTGATTTGCCAGGGGCAAGGGAACTTGGAAGCAGATGTTTGGAGCTGTCATGTGTCACCCACCTCGAACTGACTAGAGAATTCTGTCCCAAACTGGAACCACTGGCTTCTGTGATTGAATGTCAGGGTAGGGTGTTGGCCCAAATCAGAGTTAGAAAAACATCCTGGAGGTGAATGGCTCAGCTAAAAACCCAGGAATACAAAGTAAGTGTAATCTTATCTTAATTCCTTTCCCTCCTTTTCCCCAATTTCCCATAGGGACTCCTATAAGAT